CTTGAAATTCAGATAACTAGGATATAAAAGAGAATTTATCTTGATCAATCTAGCTCTATAGAAAAGATGTTGAAGAAAATACAATTACTTTGATTGTAAACCTATGTGCTCTTCAAATGATGCTAGTGTAAAGCTATTTAAGAACACTAGAGTCATTGCAAGACAAATTGAATATGCTAACATCATTGACAGTTTGTGATATGCAATTGATTACACGAGACCAAACATTGCATATGCCATGGGATTGTTTGACAGGTCTAACAAGAGTACAAGTTTGGAGCATTGGAATGCTATTGAAAGTGTCATGAGATACATTAAAAGAACATTAAACCTTAGAATACACTATCAAAGGTTTCTTGCTTTATTAGCATGGTATAGTGATGCGAATTGGAATACCCTATCATATGAATTCAAGACAACCATTTAGTATATTTTTAGCCTTGATGGATGAGCTGTATCTTGAAAGTCTAAGAAGCAAACAATATTGGCTCAGTCAACTATGGAATTAGAAATGATAGCACTAGCAATGGTAGTGAAGAAGTGAGTTGGTTGAGAGGATAGTTGGCAGAGGTTCGCTTACGGGAATGATCGGTTACACCGGTATTGATCCATTGCGACAGTACCTCAGGTATTGCTAAGTTTGAGAAACTTTACTACAATGGTAAGAGATGGCAGATTCATCATAAGCATGTTAATGTAAGAGAAATCCTAATGATAGGAGCAGTGAGAGCGAATCATGTAAAATCTTAACAAAATCTGGTTGATCCTTTGCCGAAAAATATCGCCAAGGGTATGGACTTATACCTTTAGAACTATAGACACATGATGGTAACCTGACCAAACGGACTGAAGATCCGAATAAATGGGTTCAATGGGTAATAACTAGTCGTGTGTAATATGAGATAAATCATGCATAGTGAAGCATGAAATTCCTAAAGCTTATAGAGGTTGAGGTAATACTAACTCTTAATGAGATTTATACTCCATGTGGAGTGACGTACATTGGTTTGGGAGTACTTTTGATAAACTCACCTATGGGAATATAGGAGTGGGGTTGCTTCCTATGGAATTTGTCGAGATACAAAATTGCTACAACGTTCACTAAACTGAGACAATGTGCATGGCCATAAACTCACGAGCTGTTAGAGAATAACACTCAATGAAAAGGTCTGGCGTACATTGTCCGAGATAGAGCTCAAGACTACGAGTCACTCTTGTTAAGTTAGAAGTGTAACCACTATGCTAAGGTTTTATCTAAAGCTAACTTAGTTTGTGCTCGATCTTATATCGTTGTTGATGCTCAGAGATAGTTTTAAAAATATTCAAGTGGGGATTGTTGGAAAAGAATAGTTTTGAAAGCTATAAGTAAGATCTCAAATATCACAATGGTAAGATATATAAGAATAGGTTTCTCTCTCTTATGACTATTACCCCTTGGGGTTGGTCGGATTGAGACTATAATTTTTTTGGAGGAATTTCAAATTAATTAACTAATTTCTCTTCTTATTCAAAAATCGAAATGTAGTGAAGGATAATTAATACTGAAACACATCTGAATTAACTTGACTCCCAATACCCTCTAGAGATACAATTAAGAGAGTAGAAACACGAAAAGAGTGAAATTCAGAGAGCTCCGGTTTCACACAAGTTGAGTGTACCAAAGATTGGTTGTTTTATCCTGGAGGCAAACGACTGATAGTCTGTCATGTGCATTACAAGGTAGTGCATCAAATGTTTTTAGGGATGGTAATCAGTATAACCTGATACTGAACCGGTAACCGACCGGTATCGGTATATCGATAACTGACGGTATCGGTATGCGGTTGCCAAATTACCATCATGGGTATACCGACACGCATCCGGTAAATAACCAGCGACAAATCAATATACCAGATATACCGATTCCATCTGACATTTCCTACTCTTCTTCCTCTCCGCCCTCGTCCCTCCCATAGACCCAGATCCGAGCCATTCTCTTCTCTCCCATCTCCGTCTTCTCTTCTCCCTTCCCCTTTGCCTCTACACCCACCCACCGGAAAATCCAGAACCCTTGTTTTCTTCCCCATCTTTATCACCTTTCAATCCATCAAAATCCCCAAATAATAGTTAACCCATAATCGGAGGTACAAGGGAAGCAGAAAAACCAAAATTATAAACCCCAAAATTGAAACCAACAAAGATGAATGGAATTTGTCGGCGACGTCTCCGTGTACAACCTGTCTTCTTCTTTCCCAGCGACGTCTCCGTCTCTGTCACCACCGTCATTCTTCTCCTACCTAGAAAGAAGCCATAACCTAGGTTTCAGTTAAAAAAAATCGTCGTCGTTCTCAAAACCATATCTAAAATGGATTCTCTGGGTAGGAGTTACCGTTCTCGATCTCTCCGGATCGATTTTGGCTTGAGGTAAAGAGGAGGTTGGGAGATCGTCTAATTCCCTCTCTCCATCACTCGATCTCCAACTTGATTTAAGATCGGATCCGTGATGCATGCGTGGGAAAAGCAGACAAACGCCGACCATTTTCCTCGGCATTGTCGGTGAACTACTTCAGTGGTGGTGGCGCCGATGAGGGATTGTGTCGATCGACGTTGGGAGGATGATGAATAATGAAGGTGGAGAAACAATTTGGGAGGTGGGGTTGTTGCCTGCTGTTGGTGGTGATGACTGATGAAGGAAGGACGTGAGGCGTCTGAGCAAGATTCGGTAACCCTAGTTTCTACTATTCCGTTTCTAGCAACATTACAAACAGACTGAAATTCAAGAAACAAATTGAAAAATATATAATTTTACTAATTAGATTCATCAAAACGACATCTTTTTGTTTAAAAGTTGGAAATCGATCATACCGGGCATATCACAAATATTCCACTCGATTTTGTAACTGCTACTGATGGAATCTTAGAGGTCATTTGGAAGTTGCGATTGTTTGGTTGAGATTGTCATTATGCATGTATTGTTTATGTTAGAATATGACTTGAATTTGATTTGGGTTTGTTTTGTATTTTAGGCCTATTCTGTTTGGGTTTGGGATTGGGTTTTGTTTTGACCTTTTCCTTGTATGTTTGGGAAAAGGTGTTTGGTTTTCTGTTTGGGATTAGGAGAAGAGTTCTATAAATACTCTTCATCACCCTAGTTTGTAGAAAAGGGTCAGTCAGGTTAGTTTGTTTGGTTTGTCCATTTGGAATTTGGTTTGTAACCTGTACTCTCCTCAAATTAGTGAAATTTGTCCCCCCTCCCCCCCGCCTGTGGATTAGCTAGCACGCATTGTGTTAGTAAACCACGTTAAAAATTGTGTTCGTTCGTGTTGGTTTGGATTATCGATTGCCACGCTTCTATTCTGACAAGTGGTATCAGAGCCTGGTTGCGGTTTTGGGAATTTGCCGCTGGACTGAAGTTTTGCTTTGTGGAGTTTGGTTGGAGTTTGTTTGATAGTAAGAATGGCTGCTATCAGTATGAAGATTGAGACGTCGATTTGGAGTTGCAGGTTTAGAGTTGGAAGTAAATTTGATGTTGGTGTTATGGACGGAAATAACACCAAACTGCAACTGCATGGCAAGTCCCAACATGGGTTGGACTTACTGCATGTTTTGATTTGTTGACCGCCCTTAGGGGCATTTGGAGGCAGGGGAGATTCTGGTACAACTGATTTGGAGAAGTTTAGTATGTCTGGCAATTCTGATTGCATCTGAGTTTGGCGATTTGCATCGCGTTTGGTCTGGCGATATGAATCGCATTTGGATATGTCTGGCAATCTTGATTGCGTTTGAGTTTGGCGGTTTCGATCGCATTTGGATACGTCTGGCGATATGTATCGCGTCTGGGTACATCTGGCAACTTTGGTTGCGTTTGGTACATCTGGAAACTTTGGTTGCGTCTGGTACATCTGGTATTTGAGAGAGAATTCAAGTCAAGGTGGAGATTGTTAGAATATGACTTGAATTTGATTTGGGTTTGTTTTGTATTTTAGGCCTATTCTGTTTGGGTTTGGGATTGGGTTTTGTTTTGACCTTTTCCTTGTATGTTTGGGAAAAGGTGTTTGGTTTTCTGTTTGGGATTAGGAGAAGAGTTCTATAAATACTCTTCATCACCCTAGTTTGTAGAAAAGGGTCAGTCAGGTTAGTTTGTTTGGTTTGTCCATTTGGAATTTGGTTTGTAACCTGTACTCTCCTCAAATTAGTGAAATTTGTCCCCCCGCCTGTGGATTAGCTAGCACGCATTGTGTTAGTGAACCACGTTAAAAATTGTGTTCGTTCGTGTTGGTTTGGATTATCGATTGTCACGCTTCTATTCTGACAGTTTACAATGCATCATTTTTTTGTTTTTGTTTTTTTAGCAGAAACAATACATGGATTGTTTCTGTGATGTGACAGAAACTATCACTCATTTTGAGTGATTGTTATATCTCAACTTTTAGTTGTGATTGTTGAGATAGTTGAGTTGAGATTGTTTTGTCTCAGCTTTTAGCTGATGCGACATACACAATCACACATACCAAACGTTGTATTCTACAATGCATCAAATTCGACAATACATGTATAATATTATACATGCATTCTCAACAATACATCTATTTAACAATCGCAACTTCCAAACGACTCTTATTGTACCCCGTACATGACATAAATAAATATAAGATTTAAAACCAAAAAGCAAAAAAAAAAAAAAAAAAAAAATTTAAGAGGGATAAGAAGGTAATCTAGCTAAGTACAGCAAAAAGAAAGAAAAACAAGAGGGGTTGGAGACTTGGAGTTGGTGAGCGTTTGGTGAGAGACGGAGACCCGAGCCGAGAATCGAGATCACTCTTCTTCCGACTGAAGCATTGGAAGGTCCGACCAGAGTCCAGACAGACAGTGCGAAGCAAGCAAGTAAAGCACCCAACTTTCTTCTCCCCCCCTTAAAAAAAACTATTCTTTATTTCTTCTCATCCTGCCAACTCTCTTGCGTTTCCTCTCTTGTTCTTCCTTTCAGCAACCGGGTTTGGCATCCCTGCCCCGCGGTGAGAATGGCAACCAGTTCGGCGGCGACTTTGGAAGATGTGCCATCCATGGATCTTATGACCGAGCTTCTCCGCCGCATGAAGTGCGCTTCCAAGCCTGATAAGCGCCTTATTCTCATCGGTATTCCCTTTCCTAACGCCTGCCTTTCGTTCCCCCCTATCTTTTCGTTGTTCAGCTTTAAGACTCGGTAGTGAACCCTAGTCCCTAGCCGGCGCTTGTTGTGCTGCTGTGCGTCATTGGTGTTCTGGGTCTTGTTTGTTTCCCTCAGATCTGAGTGCTTCCAATTTTCTTTGTTCAAAAGTTTGGCGAAGCTCTCTTGCCAATGGAGTTTTGTTTGTTCTATTCGAATTCAACTTACCGTGTGTTTCTGTGTTGTGCATTTTTTTTTTTTGGGGTCTCACTCTCGGTTAACAGCTGGATCTTGGTAGAAAAAAAGTTTGCTTCTTTGTTTATTGTCTCAGTTGACGTATCATGGCATCCATATACATTTATCGATGTGGGGATTGCAAGCTTTCTCTTTGATTTATCCTTGTGGATTATGGAATCGTAGTCCCTTGCCTTTCAACACAGTTGAGAGGCTGGTTGCCGCAGTGAGAAGGAATACAATGCTGCCTGCAGCTTCATCCTAGTTTTACATATGCATTAGCATTGATTAGATCTTTTACTGTTCAAGAGCGAGCTTCTAAGGAGCTGGTATTGGAAATTGTTCCCCAGAAGCATATAACAATGCCAATGTGTCTTGTGAATCCTTTGATCAACCTGGTATTATCAGCATAGACTAGATAAAAAAAAAATCATGCAAAAACATGGTTCTGACTGTATAGCGCGCCTTCCATATATCATGGATTATTTGTTAGAATTCTTGTACCTGAGATGGCCATTAGATCAGTTCCTTCTGTTTCCAGTTTTGTTATGAGCAAGTGTTCATACATTAACAAGAAGTCTTCTTGTAGTCCTGTCAGTACATGTGGCTTCACAATTTCTGTGTGGTGATTCGTCTAACTAACATGTTTTCTAATTGTATGATGATTGGCAGGTCCTCCTGGGTCAGGGAAAGGTACTCAATCACCAATAATCAAGGATGAGTTCTGCTTATGCCACTTGGCAACTGGGGACATGCTGAGAGCTGCTGTTGCAGCTAAAACTCCTCTTGGAGTTAAGGCTAAGGAGGCTATGGACAAGGTTGAATACACTATAAATCATTAGTTTCTTCTTCCTTTTTGCTAATTGCTGAATATACTAATATGAGTATTTGGAATTTGCTTTTTTCTCAGGGACAACTTGTTTCTGATGACTTGGTGGTTGGAATTATTGATGAAGCAGTCAAGAAGCCCTCTTGTCAGAAAGGCTTCATTCTTGATGGGTTCCCTAGAACTGTGGTCCAAGCAAAGAAGGTGTTCACGGAATCATACCATATTGTGTTTACATGAGGTATCCTCGTGCAAGGTCTAACAATTTCTGACTTTATATTGCAGCTTGATGAGATGCTTGAGAAGCAAGGAGTTAAAGTTGATAAGGTGCTGAATTTTGCTATTGATGATGCTATTTTGGAAGAGAGGATTACGGGTCGTTGGATCCACCCTTCTAGTGGTAGAACCTACCACACGAAATTTGCACCTCCAAAATCCCCAGGCGTTGATGATGTAAGGAAAACTGGTTTTTATCCTATCGTGATAACTTTGGCCTTGTAAATGCTCAAATAGCGTTTTCTTATACATAATCCACTCGTTCCATGAACAGAATAGTAATTACTTGATATCCTGAAACTTGAATAGTAAGAATCAGGCACCAAAGTAGATGTATGTCATGTCACTATTAGGTGGTTCATGCATCATGGTTGGCTAATCGGTGCATAGCGTACACGTTTTTCTCTTAGAAGCAATCGTTGTGGCTCATGCCTTAGGTTGCATTATTGAAATTAATTCCTGGTTGATGTCAAAATATGTTAACAAAAGCTTTGTTGGTTTAATATTGCCAAGGTAACTGGAGAGCCTTTGATTCAACGTAAAGATGATACCGCTGCAGTCCTCAAGTCAAGGCTGGATGCCTTCCACAAGCAGACTGAACCAGTATGTTTTTCATCCATTTGTAGGCTTCTTTGATAAAGGCTAGGTTCTTCTGTCGATGGGTAGACTGGTTATTTCTGGGTATACTCTGCAGATTATACTTGGGAAGCTATTGAAACCTCTACTAATATTAGGCTGCTGTAGCACATGAACCTCGTTAAACTCTGACTAGTTATGAGGCTCATACTTACAGTTGGCTTAAATGCAGGTTATTAGCTATTACAAGCAGAAGGGCGTTGTTGCGGATCTTCATGCTGAGAAACCTCCCAAAGAGGTTACAGTTGAGGTTGAGAAAGTGCTTTCCTGATAGGGTGCCAGTCGAAAGGAAGTCGTTTTTTTAAAGGAAGTACTTTAGGATTTGAGAGTGATTTTTTTTCTTCCTTTTACCCTTTTGCTTCTCTCGCGATATTGTAGCACACAATGTCGTTTGTGTTATTTGATCCTTTGGCTGTTGCCTAGTTATTTTGGCTGCAATTTTCGGCTACTGTACCAAACCTTTGTTGAGGGTATGTAACTGCTGAGTCGTACTTTAGAAAATAAATATACTGCAGCTTTATCTCAATTAAGATTCTATTACCGTTTTTTTTTTTTTTGACAATAAGTCTATGCAATCCCATAAATCAAACAAAGGTTACAAGATTGGTAGCAATACATTGAGAACTGTAATCCAGTCCTCCGGGAGCTGGTTCTTTGCTCGTGATCGAGCAACCCAGTTTGCCAGAACATTCTGCTCTCTCCTAACAAAAGACACCTGAACTCCATTGAGTCGGCTTAAGCTGTCAAGGATTGCGTCAAGCCGTGCTGCAACAATCCATGGCAATTTTTGTCTTGGCCCATCGATCGCGTCAACCAACGTCTTACAGTGAGATTTGAGAATACACGACGGGGAGAGTGAATGGGCAAACTTGCACCCTTCATGAATTGCTACTGTTTCCGCTTCCAGCGCTGATTCGCAGAGCAGGGATTCGGCCTTTCCTTCGCAAACCTCACCATGGGAATTAAGGACAACAATCCCATAAGCCGCCTCCCGGGAATCGTCAAAATACGATCCATCACAGTGAATCACCTCATGGGGATTACTTGGCGGTGGTGGGGGTGAGAAGGAGGTGGAGTAGGCCGAATTGGCAAACCTGGTTCCTCTCTTCTTTTTTTTTTGGGCAATTCTTCCAAAAGAGAAACTCATTCATTGCCTGGGAGATGGTTCGTTGTGGCCACGGAAGTCGATTCCTGAAAATCATCTCATTGCGAGCCTTCCAGATATGCCAAAGGGTAAAGACAACAGAATGTGGCCCTTCGATCGGGTAGGCTTCTCCTACCTCCCACAACCAGAAGTTAACTTTTTTCGAGGGTGGTGGGAGAGGCAGAGATGGGGCGAGTCGAGCCCAAGTCTCCTTGGCATGAGGACAATCGAACAGGACATGAAAAATGGTTTCCTCCTCACAATTGCACAATGGGCAAGCCTTAGACCTTGCGCAATGCCGATCGAATAGATTCCTCTTGGTAGCCAAGGCTCCTCTCGATGCTTTCCAAATGAAGAAGGTGACTTTCGGAGGGAGGTTCAAACTCCAGAGCCATTTTCATCTGTCTTTTTCCTCCTGAGAAATGCCTGAACTGCCGGCGGTTCCCCACCTGATTCGATCATGGCAAGCATGAAAGGCAGATCTCACCGAAAACTCCCCATTGTTCGTGAATCTCCAGGCCCAGAAGTCTTCCATCCCTTGGGATCCAATCGGAATCCTAGAAATGGCCTGCTGAACCTCTGTAGAGAGAAGATCTTCCATCCCTGATAGATTCCAGGACCGGTTGTCCTGATTGATCAATTCCTCAACTCGCCTAACCTCTTGGTTCCTCATTTGAATTGTGAAACCGGGAGAGGAAGTGATCCATGGGTCCTTAAAGATGTTTGTATCCCGCCCATTCCCAATCACCTTCACAATCCCCATTAAAAGCCACTTGCGAGCCTCACAAAGACTGCCCCAAATCCACGACGCTCGGCTGCCTTTTCTTGCTTCCAAGAAATCTCCTCTTGGGAAGTACAATCCTTTCAGCATCCTAACCCAGAGCGCTTCAGGGGATGCTATCACCCTCCATGCTTGCTTAGTCAGGAGGGCAAGATTGACAACAGAGAAGGGTCGAAATCCCAGTCCTCCCTCCACTTTGGGGGCATACAAGACATTCCCCGCTCTCCAGTGGATGGTTTTCTTTGACGTTGACCCCGACCAAAAAAATCTGCGGAGCATTACATCCATCTTATTCGTTGTGCCTTTTGGGAAGAGGAAAATGGTCATAAGGTAGGATGGAATTGCTTGGAAAACGGCTTTAAGCAGAACCTCTTTACCTCCTGCCGAGAGTAAGATGCTCTGCCAACTTTCTCCTTTCTTTTCCATTCTATCAATAAGGAATTGGAACATCTCCTTCTTTGACCGTCCCCATGAGGTTGGGATTCCCAGGTATTTGTCGTGATAGACTCCTTCCGCAAAGCCCAGGCTCTCCCTAATAGCGAGTCTTTCCTCCTCCAACACATTGAGACTGAAAAACACAGATGACTTGCTGAGATTAATCTCCTGCCCAGTGTACGCACCATATTCATTAACAACATTCATAAGGTTGGTAGCTTCCACCACAGATGCCTCCTTAAACAGGACAGTATTATCAGCAAAGAGGCAATGAGTGAGCCTCGGGCAGAACTGATTCAGCTTGAGCCCTTTAATCTGCCTGGCTTCAATTGATTTTTCCACCAGAAAGGACAGAGCATTCGTCATAAGGATGAAAAGAAGGGGGGATAGAGGATCTCCCTGCCTGATACCTCTAGAGGGGGCAAACCTCTCCGAAGGAGATCCATTGAAGAGGACTTGGAAATTGACCGTTGTAATGCATTCCTCAATCCACTTGCACCAATCCTCCGAAAAACCATACGCCTTTAACAAGTTCAGCAGGCACTTCCACTCCACCAAGTCATACGTTTTCTTCATGTCAAGCTTGACCATCATATCTCTCTTTCGTCCACTCTTGTGTTTCTTAAAGTGATTCAGCACTTCATGGACGATTATAATGTTATCCTGGATCTGTCTACCGCCCATTAAAGCTGACTGAACTTCGGAGATTAGATCGGGTAGCCAAACTTGGAGTCTAGAAGACAAAATTTTCGTAATCACTTTGTACCTAAAATTGCAGCAGCTAATCGGTCTGAACTGGCCCAACTGTTCCGGAGCATCAACTTTAGGGATGATGGTGATGAAAGTATCATTCCATCCGTCTGGAATTTTAGTGTTCCTGAAGAAGGCTCGGATCTCCTCACAGAACTTGTTCTCACATATGTCCCAGAATCTTCGAAAGAAATGGCCGGGGAAGCCATCCGGGCCAGGGGCCTTAGCCGCCCCCAATGAAAAAACCGCTCTTCTAATCTTCTCATTGTTCACCTCCTTTCCCAAGTCGGAGTTCATCGCTTCTGTGACCAGCTTGGGAAACTCTTTCATATCGAAACGAAGCACGTTCGTATCTCTAGTCTTGAACAGGTTTTGATAGAAGTCTGTTGCCATGTGCTTGAGAATGGCTTGATCTTCAATCCAGTCACCCTGTATATTTTTCAATTTATTAATTCTATTGGCTTTCTTCATCTGAATGCACGCCGCGTGGAAAAAAGCCGAGTTTTGGTCCCCCCCCCCTTGCAGCCAGTTCACTCTGGACACTTGTTGCCAAAACTCCTCCTCCTTTTCCCATAAAGTACAGAGTTCATTTCCAATTTGGCGTTCTTCCTCAAGGTAAGAATTATAATCATCCATCTCTTGTATCTGTAAAAGTCTCTTCTTGATCTCTTCTTCTCTTCTAATTTTTTCCTTTTTGTCTTTCTTTGCCCAATTCTCCAGCTGGCTCTTGCAACTCTGCAAGCAACTCATCACATCTCCATCCTTCCCCCAACAGTCCTTTACAATCTTGATGCACTCTTCCTCAAATCTCCATCTTTTATCAAACCGAAATGGAATCTCTTTCTTCTCCTCCAGCATGTCAAAATCCACTCTAATGGGGCAGTGATCAGACTCCACGAACACTTCGTGAAAGACCTTAGCTCTCTCGAACTTCAGTCCCCAAGACGGGGAGCAGAGTGCTCGGTCCAGTCTCTCCCCAATGCCTTCCTCACCTCTTTGCATGTTCTTCCAAGTGAAAATTGGGCCATTAAACCCCAAATCAATTCTGCTCAACAAAGTACTTAAAAGGGGCTCGATTTTCATTTCTAATGGGCATCTCCCCTGTTTCTCAAAATCAGAAAGGACAACATTAAAATCTCCAACCAGGAGCCACTCCTCATCACCCCTATCCCTCAAGGCAGTGAGCTTATCCCAACAGGTTCTTCTCTCCACTGATGTGGTGGGAGCATGAACAAAAGTGCAGAAACATACATTACTGCCCCAACTAATACAAACATCTATATAGAATCTAGATTTATCAATCACCATGATCGATACATCTTCATTCCACCATAATGCTAAACCACTACCACCCTGACTAGGGCTAAAATACTCCGAATTGGAAAACTTCAATCTTTTCCTCTTCTCCTCCAAAAAGCAGTCTTCTTGTTTTGTTTCCATCAGGAAGAAGATTGATGGCCGATATTTGCGGCAGAGATTCTTGCCGAAGCTTCTCGTAGAAGACTGGCCAAATCCTCTACAGTTCCAGCTCAGTAGCCTCATGCTGCTGGAGGTGGCTCCAGGCTTGCCACCGCTGCCCTCGAGATCGGGTCATTTCCCTCCTCGGCCTGCTTCTCTGCTACTGTTATTGCTGCAATACTCCTCCTTCGATAAACCTGTCTCCTTCTTCCCTTCCCTTACTCTTCCTGACCTGGGCTAAACTCAAGGCAATCAACACTAAAGTTAGATAGATTAGAGATCGTTGGTGAGCTTGCTTCACCACTTAGCCCATGGTCCGCCCTTTTTTTCTTCAGCGGGCTGGCCTGGTTCACCGACGGGGGCTCCCCACTTATGAGCTGAACCGCATACTGGGCCTCTTGGATAATTGTCCCAATGGCTCCCCTTGTTGGTGAAGTTGGTGGGCTGGGTTTTTTCTTTTCCCTCTCGTCCTGGGCTTCTTCTCCTCTTTCGCTCCTAGGACCGGCTAGACTTAGCTGTTGGCCCATCTCCAGCAGTCCCTGTCTGTCCTCCCTTGGCCTGTGGGCTTCCTCTCTTTCGCGCCAGCTGGGCTCTCCATCATTGAGAACCAGTAAAGACTGAATGGCCTCTGTTGTAGCCTCCAGGTCAATCTCCAGTCTTCGGGGTGTACTTTCTGGCTCCCTCCCTGACTCTCCGTACCTTT